CCCGCGTGCTCTCAGTCGCACGTGCTGGGGTTCGTCCCGCCGTGATTTGGAGAAGTACGGTGTAGAATTCTGCCCAGCTGAGCTCATCCCAGAATAAAAGTGTGACGGCTGTCTGCAGTTCGTACTGGTTTAATCTGGGTTTGTCCCCAGTTGCTGCTGAGTAGGAGCTACCACTGAAAAGGGGTTTTGCACAGGGGGCTGAATGCAAGCTGGTCTTTACCTCTGAAATTTTTCTCCATCTGGTAACATCAGTATTTCAGTGATCTGTGGAGCAACTGCTCCTGGAAAGCACTGACACAGGGCTCCTCTGATAAGAGCAGTTATCATCCACCTTCGCGGCTCTCCGACACGGGAGGGTTTACAGCTGCAGTCTCGGAGCCAGCGTGGTTGGTCACTTACTCTCTTCTTACCTCACGCAGTTCCTTTTAGTACTAGATAATTCAATTTCAAGAAAAAAAAACCCCAAACCTAACCCACAAACGAAAACCAAAAAAACCCCAAACACTTAAACCCAACCACGTGTGCATTTTACACCGTGTGGGTTTGGCTCCATTTACGCACAGGACCTGATAAGCACCGATTATCCATCTTTGGAAGACACAGTTTGGGTTTTACGTCTTCTTTCAAGCCTGGGAGCAATTCTTTCCCAGCAGCATTCCTGTCTCTAAACGTCCAGTGCCATGCACAACATGGTTTCTGCCTCAGGTGGAGTCTCTCCCGGTGCCTCCCTCCTGAATTTGCGCGCAGTGGTTTGGGAACCCGGGAGCAGCGTTCTGTGCTCCTCTCCCTCCATGCCGCTTGTCAGGAACAAAACCCGAGTGCGGCTTCCAGGGAGAGCGGTGCCGTACCTGCCCGGGGGTAGAGCGTCAGGATCCCGCTGCCATCTGCACTGCCTGCGACTTCTGGAGGGTTGGGAGCAGGGAGGCTCGATGCTCTGGCATCAGCGTGCGATGGCTGGAGGCTGTCACGCTGCACCGCAGCCCTGTTTTCCTGTTGCTCTCTCTCGTTTTTATTGCTCTTTTCTCCTCCTTTTTTACAGAGCAGCCTGTCTTAATTGCTCGTACAGTAGATCACCCAAAGTACATTAGTTAAAGATCAACGTTTTGAATTGATTTACATAACTGCACTTTAACTTGACATTTTTATGTTTTGCTGCTTATTTTTCTAATTACAGCTGAAAGGAAATTTGAGATAAGTATCATTTAATGAAGGAGCCAAAACCCCAAGGACAGTTGGTTTGATGTTATATTCTCTGCTTGAATTAAACAATCAAGTTTTTTCTCTAATTAATTAGAGTCTTTTGGAGCTGGTAGGGGATGGAAGCTGTTCCTATCTGCTGTAGCCTGCCAGCCTGTGTTGTAGATACCAAATTAGGTGACTCTCAAAGTATTTTGAAGTCATGCATCTGAAGCTCCCGGTGTATCTCGCTCGCAGACTCGCATCTGTAATCAAGAGCTGGGCGCACAGGAGCGACACTTTGTCACGGTGACGTGGGTGCCGTTGTTGGCTGACTGCAGTCCCAAGCCCACAAGCCCGCTCCACCGGTGTGAGCAGCCCAAGGCCACCCCTGCTCGAGTCTTCTCCTTGTCGGTGGGCTGGCTGGGGAGACTCCAGGGAAACAGCTGTGGGACCACCTGCTAGTTTCTAAAATGTATTCTCCATAATCTATTTGTAGAGAAGTGACCCAGCTGGGAGAGCTTGGTTATAGGGCAGCAGGAGTTGCAGGAGCTCTGGGCAGGCTTTTCCCTCAGTTGCATCCTACTTCCACTCTGGCCTGGGATGGAACAAGTTGACTTGAGCATCCAAGTGCAATGGCTTTTTTCCCTGGAACGTGACCGTCTACTGAGTTTATTTGATTACATGGTTTCCCTTTTCAATTGCATGTGAGTAGTTGTTCGACTCGAGTCATCTCTTTCCTCTTTGCCCCAGTTCTTCCTGTCCATTTCTAAGTGGGAATTGTGAGACTGGTCACGGCTGAGGCCGTAACTAATGCCTGTTCTTCTCCATGTAAGGTTAACGAGCAAATGGCTTTCCTTGCACACTGTGTGCTCCCACTTGTCCTTAGGTGAGGTCTGTGATGCTGGGGCACTCTTGGGGCAGCCTGCACTGAAGGTCTAGCTGCTGCTGGCCATTGGTTACTCTTTCCTTGTAAATACAAGTGATGGAGCTGGAGGCCAGGAAGTCTCAAGCTTTTTGTTGGTTTTTTTTTTAAATCTCATGCTAAAATGTGTCATTTCCACAGCCCGCAAGCTGAAGAAGCTGGGTAACCTGAAGACACCAGATGACATTGATGCCACCTGCTCGTCCAGCCCCACAGAGGAGCAAGCTCCCAAGATGGTGATGACGCACATTGATGGGTATGAGTGCCAGCCCATCTTCCTTAACGTCCTGGAGGCCATTGAGCCCGGCGTGGTGTGTGCCGGCCACGACAACAGCCAGCCAGACTCCTTCTCCAACCTGCTGACCAGCCTGAATGAGCTTGGGGAGAGGCAGCTGGTCTACGTGGTGAAATGGGCCAAGGCCTTGCCAGGTGAGCTAAAAACCTAACAAATCCCATCCCTTCCCCAGCGCGTTCCCAAAGTCCCCTTGTTGCGTTGCCTGGGGTGGGTTTCGAGGGAGGTGGTCCCGTCGTACAGCCTGGGGCAGCCTCTTCACAAGGCTGTGTAGCGTCTCCATAAGGTTGCAGCAGCACCAGGTTTGTCTCCTTTGGGTGGCTGGTTGGTGGGAGAGGTGGCTGAGCGGTGACAAAGTGTGCAGAAACTTGTGCTTTTGGGTCTGTCCCCGCTGATAACCCCCAGCATGCCATATCGGCTCAGCGTGCATCTGCTTCCCTGCGCGGGAAGGGCTGTTGCTGGGCAGGGTTCTTGCTTTCTTCCCGCGCTCCCTGCAGGGTTTGGCTCCACTTCCAGGGCTGTGTAAACAAGTGTTAGCCCCATCCCATAACCCGCATGAAGTGGTGCAAAGGGTCAGTTCCCAGGTGAATCAGAAGTGTGCCACTTCATGATGCGAATGTGAGGTGGGGAGAACTGGGCTGAAAGGAGCTGAGGCTGGAGAGATGGGAGAAATCCTTCCTCAGCAGTTTTGTATTTCACAAGCCAATTAATTGTAGAATGCAGGAGAGAGAGACAAAATCCCAACGGGTTTTTTCCTGGCAGCCAGATTGCTCTTGTGTAACAGGCTGCTGGGATATACTTATGATGCATTCAGAGCCGCGATATGGGAGTACATGCGAGTCGGGCAGTTTCCAACCGGTAATAGTTATCGGGTGCTGGAAATGAAAACAGACTGGTGATACACGTGTTTCATTGAATACACTCCTGGTCCTGAGCACAGAGGTTACCAGCCTGTAACACACTGCCTGTTGGTGTCGTAATCCTGCCAACCGAATGAGTGAAATTACAGAAGACTGAGATCACTCTGGGTGCAGTGGGATCCAGTTCACCTTCCAGCATCCCTGAGACTGGGGCACAGGGATGATATTGCCTTTCTCAGGAAATGCCACAGAAAAGAGGGATCCTGCTCTTTATGTGCGAGGCTGATATGACCAAAGGAGGAAACTGAGGTGAAGGAAGTTTGACAGTATATGCCTGGTGAGGAACTGTAGTCAGACGTTCAGCGTTCCCAGAAATGTAGCAGTCTCCCTGGAAGGAGCTTGACGGGTGGTCCAGGAGGGGTGTTAGTCTCAATAAGCTTAAATGCAGAATAGCCCATTCTATTTCTTAGATTCTTGAGTCAGAAAAGGATCACCTAGCCTGTGAACCCAGGGACAAAACTCTTCCAGCTTATCCACATCAGACATCAAGATTCCTTCAGGAAAGTACACGGAGACACCACCAAACCACACAGCAATCCCGGGGCTGAGGTTGTGGAACCACGGTAGTGCTAATGGAAAGGGAGAGTGCTTTGAAAAATGTTTTTCATCATCACATCCCCATCATCCAAGGCTTTTGCTCTCCTGTGCTGCACCCCGCGGCGGTGCCGGCTGCTGTGCCACTGCCTGCTGGGACCTGCGACTGCCTCTGGAAAAAAATAGTTTTAATCTTCTTACATCTGAGTGGTCACTGCAACCCCCTTCGCAGGCCGGGGGATCCCTTAGGGAGGCCAGCTCTCCTGCGTGGGCACACTGAGGTGGGGTGCTGCCTGGCTGCCCTCCCCATCCTGCCGGCTGTGGAGCTGTGCTGGGATTGCTGTTAGCATCACTGCACCCGCTGAGAGAGGCAAAGGCAGTCTGTGTTCCCCAGCTTTTCCCAGCAGATCCCTGACATGTGCCAACACTG